GTATTTTTTTAAATAAAAAAAATTTTGAATTTACTTACTTGTAGCTGAAGTTAGAGGTGATCAGTTACTTATGACTACTACTATAAGCTTATTATTGAAAAAGAAAGTCTTTTCATATAGCTAAATATTAAAAGAAAACATAATTTCATTTCTTCTAATATTTAATTCTCAATCAATAGTTTTTCTAACATTACCTTTAGTTAAAATATTATCATATATCTCTTCTTAATAAATAATATAAATATACTATAGTCAGCATTAGTTTCTTTTTAGATCAATAATAACTAGTTGTTCTAACCTTTTCTTTTCATTTTATTTAGTTTGATAATAATGATTACTTAGTAAATCTTTATAATCAGAATCAGACAGGATAATTAGTTAGTTTAGTAGAAGTTAATTTTATTAGTAAAGAATATTAGATAGCAAATTTTATTTTTTTATTTATATATCTGCTTTGAAATTTTCATGTAATTTTTACTATTTTTAATTTTTATAATAAAATTTTATATTATTGTATCTTTAAAAAAAAAGCAGATTTTAAATTGATGTAAACTCCCTCTCTAGCTAGATAATAAGTTATACTATTCATTTAACCTTCTAATAATTTTTAATTTTTACTAATTATGGATGTAGTGAATTATTAGAATATTTTTTTTTGGATTAAACTTTTTTAAATAAAAAATATTACACATAATCTAATAATTATTTCATAATCTATATTAATATTATTATATATATAATTGTAATAAATACGTTGTAAATTACAAACTTTATAAAAAAATAAGTAATGAAAAACTTAGTAAACATATATCAGTATTACTCAATCTTTTGATAAGTATAATAAAAAGAGACAATAGTCATTAGTACTTTCAAAAAAATATAATTTAATCAAAAGTAAACATTTATACTATTTCTAATCAAAAAACTTATTAAAATAAAAGTCAAGTAATTTCTCAAATAAAAGGATCATAAGTTAAAAAAGTTAATATTTTCTTGTAATTTTGTCATAAAGGTTGTATAATAAACTTTATTAGAAAATTCACGTGAAATTTTTCCCAAAATGCTTGCTTAGTATTTGACTAATGCATCAGTTTTACTATTTGTTTTATATGAGCTTATAATTACATGCGCTTTGTCATTAATAAATTTTTCAAATTCATGCAATTTTTCACTAAGCAACCTTTCACATGTAAAAGAAGGTTTTTTCATTAGAGAACTACTAGACCCATTAAGATAATAGTGAATATGTGCTTTTGATATCAAATCATTTGAAACCTAATGTAGAATAATTTAGTAAAATAAAAATCAAAATCAACTACTTTATTAATACATACTGATAATTGCTTCTAAAGATTTTCATATTTGAAATCATTTGCGATTATGAATAATATTCTTTGTTTTCTATTGTCTCCTTTTTTATTGATTATTAGACTTTTTAAAAGCAATCCTAAAATGTATTAGATGTATCATAGGAGTTTATTAGTTATAACATTAATAAACCAAATTCATGTAGCTGTTTTAATGCATTTTTTTCAATATTGAAATTCAATGATCTTATCTAAAATTTATATTATAATAAATTGTATAGTTAAAAAATATTTTTTTAAAAAATAATTATTTTTTTATTCTTATCTTTGAATTTTGCTTTGAAAATGATATTATATCATGACATCCTATATTGTGAAGCATTATTCTTCATGTATTTAATTCATGCTCATTGAATTTATAATCTATAGAATATAATTATTTTAGATTATTATGAAATTTAATTATTATTTCCTATTTCTACCATTTGCTTAAAAACTTGCGTTAATCAATATTACTGATAGTTTGTTGCTTAAGATGGTAAAAAAAAACTTGTTTTATAAACACATTATTATTTCAATTACTCAATGAATAAGAAGGAATTCTTATAACTTGAATCAATTGTTGTGTTATAGTACTTTCAATTTCAAATAACGCTCTTCCTGTAAATGTCTTTAATTTGACAATTTTTGTTTCTTATTCACTAAAATTTTTTTTTCACACAAGATCAGACATGCTTTCATAATATATTTTTTTAACTTCTGTTTTATATATTATAGTTACTCTACATATATCTTCATTGAATTCTTAAAGAAATAAAGAACCTTGCTTTGCTAATTAAAACAAAAAACTTGACTTAAAACCAATTCCAGCATATCCTCATTGATCATTTTCAGATCTTGCAATTCTGAATACAAAAATGCGTATCAGCTCAAGATTAATAAAATATAGACGAAATAAAACTCCTTTCAATAATTTTTCGCAAATAGCTGGCTTGTCAAATCCTATTATCATAAGGCTTAAAAATCTTGTTTTAGTATGAAACAACTGTTGATAAACTATAGATATCATGTTGGTATTAGAATTACTTGGCTCTGTAGTATAAAAAGATTTATAAGTACAAATGTATCCTGGCTGTTCAGAATGTTCTTTAATATCTTTCACAACTGTTAAAATAAAGTCATGTCTATTTAAAAGAGTTACTACCTTCATATGTAAACGAATAGAAATCAGAAATTCTATTTCTTGATTGCAAACTATCCACTATTTGTGTGAAAAAGGTTTAAAGTGTAATTCTGAATCAATAGTTCCTATTGAAACTAAAGAAACATCGTTATTTTTTGTCATGTTTAGATAGTAATAAAGAGTAATGCAAAAGAGTTTATATAGTTGTATTAGATAACGTGAAAGATATTTCTACATTTTTCTGTTTATTATATAAAATGATATACATTTTTATCTCTGATCGACATTAATTAAAATTAATAATTTTGTCTAATTGTTACATAGATTACGAATTAATTTTAATTTTATTTAAATTTTATTAAATTTTAAAATTATACATTTTTATTGAATTATTAGATATCTTTAATGTTAGTTAAATATCTAATAATATTTGTTAAAAATTTACTAATTATAATTAAGCTAATATTATTTTTTTTATAAAGGTAATTTATTATTTTTAGTATAAATAGTATATTATTTATTATTAGAATAAAAATATATTATCATATATAATTTAAATATGTTTTTTTTATTTTCTATTAAATTAGATAAATTTTGATTTATATTTTCACTTTTATAATATGATCAACTTTCTCTAAATGCATTCATTTTAAGTGAATACACTATATATTTTCTTTCTAAATATATATTTTTATTTAATCTTAAGCATATATAATAATTTTTTCTTTTAATATACATCTTTTTAAATACATATTTTTTAAAATTTTCACTAGTCTTTAAAAAATACATTTAGAAAAAATGGATTATATAATATTATAATTGTTTACTGGAATCTTCTTAATAATTTTGTTATATTTTTTTCTATATCTTTAATATAGTTTTAATAATTTCAGCTTTTATCATATTGAAAAAGTTTTGTCATATTTATTATTATAATTTTAATATAGTTTCATCTAAGTTTTAATTGTTATTAAAAGGTTTCATTCTTCATCTATATATAATATAAATTTTTTATATTTAAAATTTCTTAAAAAACTTAATTAAATATTAAATTATATTATAATATAATTTAATAGTCTTGTAAAATTAATAAATTTAATTATATTATAAAATTAAAAAAAAACTATAAAAATAATAAAAATTTATAAAATAATAATTATACTATAATAAAAATTAAATATTAAGAAATAAATAAAATTAATTAATAACTTTTATATTAATTTATTTATTATTTATACAAAAAAATAAAATAATAATATAAATATATATAAAGAATTGATAAAAAAATAAAATATATAAAAACTTATAATATATAATATAATATAATCCATTTTCAATTTAGGGTTATCTGCTGGTAGATAATTTATGGTAACTCCTGTATAATCACCACTACTTCCCATAATAATAAAATTAATAAATTATTAATATAATAAATGTATATAAAATTATTATAATAAAGTTTATAAATTATTACTTAATATATTAGTTTTTTATTATATCAATATAGATATTATATAGTAATTTTTATAAAAAGAATTATAATTATTTTAAATTATAACGTAAAATTTGAATCTTTTAAAGATTTTTATGACTAATAATTGATTTAAGATTTACTAAGTATAATAGAAAAGAAAATAATCAAAACTGTATTACATGATCATCCAATATAATATTAGTCAGAAGATCAAAAAATTTTTTCAACTCAAATTTGAAAAAATAATAGTAGTAAATATCACTTCAAACCAGGGATGATGTTTTTTTGTATTTCACAGTATTTCACAGAAAATCACAAAATATGGATGATAATTTTCAAAATTTTGGTCTGATTTATCATCATAATGCTGGCTGATATTAAGTTTGGCCAGAATTTGCAAATCGTAATGTTGGCTAATCTTGCATAATTCTGGCCAAATCACAGAATTTCACAGAATTAACTTTTATCACACGCAGAATTCATCTTTAATCATCGCAGAAAATCATCGTCCTCATCTATTTTTAAAACCCATCTAACTTGAAAGTTAGAGTAACATGACAACTTCGCAGATATAGTAGTATTTACTAAATAATAGTTTAACGCTTTTTGACAGATATTTAGGTATGTAATATTGCTATAAAGCTGTATTTATTTTGTTATTAAACTTGAACATTTTACAAAATAATTTTGGTTACTAACAAAATTTTTCATACCCATAGTATAATATGGCTTGTCATTTATTAGCATATAAAGATTGTATATAATGTGTTTGTCTAATAAAAAAACCTCATTCTTATATATCTATCTTATAATAAAAAAAAATATTAAAAATATCGTGATCATCATGTGATTCCAAAAAGGCGTTGGTTATGATCATCACACCACTGAATAATGATTTGTCACGAATTTTATTGGTTGATGTAACCCGAACACGTGCTGTGCCTCAAATGAAACGTCACTGATGTAATGGCACTTATTAATATATAATGGGCATGATTTTTTTTTGGATGTGACTCAATTTATCTTGTTCTTCAATATGACATTGTCAGAGGAAGTCCTAACTCAATTAGTATATCGAGGTAAGTGTTTTATTCATATTATTATTCATTATTAATAATGCCAAATATTCTAATTCTTATATATATATCTTATTCAGAATATTGGGAGAAGCCGTACTCTGAATGGGAGGATGTGAAAACGTGGGATCACTTATTTATTATAAAAGATAATCGAGACGCGACGGATCAATTGTCCCATGATGCATTGGGTAAAGAATTAAAGATCTTAATTAAGAATCTTAAACCAGAAACTAGAGAAATCGAAAAGGCACGAGCAATATAACGTGGGTTACGATTATAGATGAGGGACGAAACCCCTTAATAACAGTCAAAACTTAGACGAAACTATATTAAAATCATAATAAGGGATA